AAAAAAAAAAAAAAAAAAAAAAAAAAGCCACAACAACCAAACAAAAAACACAAGAGCTCTTTGATCAGAAGGAATAATTCTGCAAGTGATAGAGGATGGTAGCCATCTGACTTCAAGTTCATAATTCTCGATACTTCAGTGAAAGGCATTGAGCTGTTTTACACAAAATTATTTTTCTCTAGGATCAAGGAAAAACATTGTGAGGACTCGTAAATCATACAGTCAGTCCAAGAAGGATTGTTTATATAGATAAAGAAATGTGGCATATTGGAAACAGCACTAGCTTTGGAGTCACACAACTCTCTTTTGACTCCCAGATTGCCACTTACTCGCTACATAAGTTGCGTTAGGCAAGTCATTTTATTTTTTCATCTATAAAATTTAGATAATGATACGTGGGGTTACTGCAAGGATTCAGTGAAAACACGTGGCATAGTACCTGAATCATAGTAGATGTACGAGAAAAGTTAGTTTAATAAGAATTCATTCATTCATTCCCCTATTTGTTCAACTTCAATTTGGCCGGAATGTCAAGTGACAGAGAATAGTGGGAGAAACATTTTTAAAGCATTAACACCGAAGTTTAGGCATTGTTATTCCTAAAAGCTTTGTACTGGTAGAGTATCTACTAAACTGATGCAAGAAAATTGAGAAGTGTTCCTCTTCTCTCAGAATGATTTATTGTGATAGCATTAACCATGACGTATCATTCTAATATGGGAGGTGGGCAGGGAAGTGTTGGATAGAGAAGGGAAGGGTCACTGGTGAGGGCTCCACCCTTGGGCCTGTGCCCACGGACCTAAATGAGGACAGGCATTTCTGTTTTCACACCCCAAAAGTTACCTTTTGGCCCACCACACCCCACATCCTGTGTCCATAAAAAACCCGAGACCCTAGCGGGCTGGATGTTGAGAGGAACAGAAGAGCACACCGCCAGACACCAGCAGACGCTGGCAGGCCATCGATGGTGGAAAGACATAGAATTCGGTCAGGGGTGGTCAGAGGAGAGTCTGGTGGCTGGGCAGCCTGACTCCAGAAGAAGACCACCTTCCAACTCCATCCTCCTTCTGGCTTC